AAAGGCGCAACGAATTTCCCGGTTAGGTCTCGCTCCGACTTTTGTCGTGTACTCCACGAGGGGGAGGACGAGATCACATGGCCTAGAAAACTCCAGCAATTTTGCTTCCGCGGCCCCAGCAAAATTGCTGGTTTTTCTGCTTTCTGCATAAGGGAAAAACCAGCAATTCTGAGTTGCTTCTCACTGAACAACCCCATCAGGTTGGCTAATAAGTTTCCTTCGATTTCGGTACAATTTACGATTTTTTTTTCTCAGAGCAGGCGGGGCCAGATCAATGAGAGTAACATCCATGAGCATTGATAGTCTGCAAACGCTCCGGTAATTTCTTTATTCCATCGGCCTCCAACGAGGAAAGCTGTGATCAAAAAAGTGGGCTAACTCCTTTTTTGTGAAGCCAAGCTCCACACTCTTCCAAATGGTTAAAATGACCGAAAATCACCTGAAAAATACGATGTTGTATGTATATTTTATTAAACGGTACTATAGGTAGGTGTGTATTTTGAAAATAATAGTAATAAATCCAAATATGAAAAATGCAAAATGTAATCGTATAAATAAATAATTACCCATTAAATAAATAATTACCCATTAAATAGAACAAATAATTTATAAATGAAAATAAAATGAAAAATGAAATGTTCAGTTGCCAGCACTCTCCCAGATGTTGCGAGTAACATTCTCGTAGTTCAGAGCTCCTTCTTGCCCTGTCGACACCATCGCAATATTCGAAGCCACTTTAGAAGACCGTTTCTTGTCTTGCTGGAACAAAATCACTGAGAATGAAATAGTATTTGTTTTTTGTTGAGATCTAGAATATGTTTATTTTTTAAACAAAAAATGGAGTTACTTTTTGTGTTTTTTAGAGTGGAACACCAAAATGAGAATGTTACAGATCAAGTTGAATATTTGGACCCCGAGGAGACAATAAAAGTAGATGTTGAATTGGAAAGCGGATGTTGATCGGACCAAAATAAGGGAAATAAAAGGACCAGTGAAATTCTCGTAAAAATATATCAAGCCAATGAATAGAAAATCCAGCGCAACCTAAAAAAAATGATTGAAAGGCCGATTTTGATATTAGCATACCAGAATAATAACAAGTATCGGTCCCAAGAAGACTTTCTCTCTTTCGTAGTTTTCCGCATTTTTTAAAGCATACAGTCGTTCGATTGAGAATCCAATAGGTAGCAGCATAGAGTTTGTCATCAAAAGCATAGACGAAATATGGTAGATTTTGAAGAATACCGGATCATTAAAGAGTTCAGAACATGAGGTGGCTGCACATGTCAAGTAAATTAACCAAGCCTTAAAATTATTTTTTCACTGAAATGAAACTAAAATGAGTGTCTTTAAAATTTTCTTCGAATTGGCGTCTGGGCGTTTTAAGACTACAGGTATCGAATATGATGGCTGTTTAGGTTCATAAAAGTTCCGGATGTTGCAATTCTCTATTTTTTTTCAGATTGCTTAGGAATGATTAGGAATCAAAAGCTTAGGTATAAATACAGACATTAGATTACGAAAACTGTCATATTTTGAAGGATTTCAAAATGAGTATTTCCCTCCTTTTTTTTCAAAATTTCGTAAAAAATTTTGATCTAAATGATGCATTTTTTGGGATAGCAGAGTGGGGAAAATAAATTTAGACGAAAGCATTTTCGAAACTTCTTGCCTAAAGCTGGTAGATGAGATTCTCGATTTTCAAATTAAGACAAACTTGATGGGATAATCAAGATTTTTAAAAGTTTTCAGAAATCTTGGCAATAAATATAACCAGTCGGTTTACGCCCCTCCGGGGCTCAACCTCCTGGCATCCGGGTACAGTATCCGAAATCTTATCATGAGATTTGTTCCCTTTTATTCAGGGTACCAAAATCGGACACTAAGAAATTTAGTGTTCCAGAAATTTCACATTTCAAGATATTCAGAATATGTTCAGAGAAAAGTGAATTAGAAAATTTCGAAGTTCAAAAACTTCGAATTTGAAATTCAGAAAATGTTTTCTAATTTTCCGAAATTCGAGTTTCTGTAATTCTGGGAATCAAACTGTAAATATAAAAGACGGTTTACGACTTTCTAAGACCGAACTTCCTCTATTTGAAATCTCGGAATTCAAAATTTTGAAAACTCAGAAAATCATGGAACCCAGGAATTCAGAAACTATGCGAATACGAAAATCCAAAAGATTACTTTCCAATTTCGAAGATTACATAGATGAGAACTTTAAAATTTCAAAGTCGGAAATTCGAAATGCTGCTGAAATTTTTTATTTTGGAAATCAGAATTTTTGAGTTTCCGAATCTTCAAATTCCCTAGTTCCAAAATACATAGCGAATGTTTGAGTTTTTGCATTTTCTGAATTTTGCAGGGCTGTCCAAAACGGCGGCCGGGCCTCGGCCGGCCTCGAAAAAGCCTCGGCCGAAGAAAAAAGGCCTCGGCGCGCTCCATTGAGAAAAAGCCTCGCAAATGTGACTACGGTCAGCAAGTCGCATATTTTACGACAAGTTGAGTATTTTTTTTAATTTTTTGTTTTTTCTCGCTCTTTTTCAGCAAATCACGCATTTTTCAAGAGTTTTCTCGATTTTTCCATCGATCTGTGGCGACATGAACATTTCGAACGCCAGTGATGGTCGGTTTAAGCCGATTTATTCATTTGTTATAACCGTTATTCAATTTCAGACACAATTCAGATGCCTCAATGGTTCATTGATCCCACACCAAATCGTCAGAGCCTGGACTTAAAAATGCTGGAAAAGTTGATGATTCTCAAAGAAAAAGATCGATTCGACACAGGCGAGACTGAAAGATTTTGATGAATGAACACAAGCTTTTTTTGTTAATTTTCTTGAATTTGTTGTCATTTTCTCTCCCCTGTTATCTCAGTGTTGAATAAAAGATTTCTTGACTTCCTCCTTTTTTTAAATGCTCTAAATATCGAAAAATCGAGAAAACTCTCAAAAAATGCGTGATTTGCTGAAAAAGAGCGAGAAAAAACAAAAAAATAAAAATAAACGCAACTTGTCGTACAATATGCGACTTGCTTACCGTAGTATTTGTATTTATTACGTAAAAAATACGTGGAAGAATAAAAAGAAAAAAGAATGAAAACGTCATAGTCATATTTGCGAGGCCGGCCGAGGCCGGCCGAGGCCTCGCGAGGCTTTTTCTCAATGAAGCGAACTTGCGACGGCCTCGGCCGCACAAAATTGCGCGAGGCCTTCGGCCGGCCGAGGTCGGCCTTTTGGACAGCCCTGGAATTTTGAGAAGTTGATAAATTTAGAATGTCTAAAATCAATGGTTTGTATTCAAAACTTCAGTAGTTCAAAAACCTTTCAATTCTATGTAAGACGTTTGTTCCTATCTGATTTTTAAATTTCGAGTGATTTTAAACTCCCAAATTTCTGAGTTTGGGAATTTAGGAAGCTCGAATTTCGAAATGTTCTTATCCCTCCCTGTCTAATTTTTTCTGATAATTCGGAAATCTCGTCCTAGGAATCCGAATTGGAAGATTTAAAATCTTGAGTATTTATTAATTCCGTAATTCAGTAGTACAGAAACTCGAAAATTCGGCAGTTCAAAACTGCAACTTCTAAAACTGTACAGCTCTAAACATCGTTAATTCAGATTCCCAGAATCCGAGAAGTTTATAAATTATTAAATTTTGACCTTTTGGAATTCGGAATACAAATTTGGTAATTCGAGAGTTCGGAAATTCAAAAATTCAAAAATTTTGAAGTCATGACGTTCTAATTATCGGTGGATAAGAATCGGCCGTTGTCCTTTTTAATTTGTTGAAATCTGTGGTTTTTTTCCGAATGTTGCTGGGCCTTAAGCTTTACGGCTCTTAGTTAGTAATTTCGGGGCATTGGAATTTGTCTCTGCAGAAAGGAAGCACAACGTTTATCTATTTATCTCCCAAGTTGTTATCCGAGATTGGCTGATAACAGAAAAATCTCCAAATTTTGACTAAACTTTACTTTCGACTTGAAACTAATGAAACGGGGAAACTCTTTTCTATGATTTCAGCCAATTGGAAAACAGTCATTCATTTTCATATTTATTTCTGAACTCATTACAAAAACCAAAACGATATTGGGACCTGTGGGACTCGAACCCCTCACCTCGCACACAAAAGCATGGTTCGTGAACCACACACCACTGGTAACCACAGCGAGGGTGGTAGAAATGACGTATACGTGTGCGAGGTTTCCTGCCCCTCTCGCCATCTCGCCCTCTTTCTCGCCCTCTCTGCCCACCACGCTTTACTGTGGCGAAACCAAGGAACGTCTCCAGAAGACTTCAAAATCAGAATTTCGAAAAGCGAAAAGTCCGGGCATCAACTAACAAGGGAAGTACCCGAAGTGTCCCCTCGCTTTTTCTTAGCAAAAAATGTTCTTTCCCCGGACTAGCACAAAACAAATAATATAAGGTGCCCATGGCAGGTTGAGCAGAATGTCAAAACTTTTTGTAATTTTTCAAAAAAAGTGGATCGAGTTCTTTCAAAAAATCATAACTTCGTACAGAGCAAAGGTAAAATTACAGACTGACATGTATCGTGTAGAACAAATTACAGGCTACAAAAAATTTAATGACACCTATATTCTATCTTGGCGAAGAAATTTACTAGGATGGGAAGTGTCCGAATGGTCCGATCGTATGAAATCAAAAAATGTCGATTTTCGAAAAAAAAAACACCTTTGGTAGACTATGTCTATCCGATTCCTTTCATGTCATAATTCAAAACTATAGTCTCAAACATACACCGTTCATTTAAGAGGGATTTTTGAAAAAGTAAACTTTCAAAACTCAATTCCATGTACCCCTATACATGGTATTTTTTTTTACTCATTTTTCCATATACACCATAAAAGCTCCGAGAACAAACGATTCAGTTGATTTAGTTGTTTTTTGACAGAAAATTATCAAATCGTGATCAAGGAGTAAAAACTTTCGAAAAAAATTTTCACATGTTGAAAGTGAGTATGTAGAGGGGTACATGGAATTGACATTTGAAAGTTTATGTTTTCAAAAATCTCTCTTAAATGAACTGTGAGCTATATATTTGAGACTATAGTTGTGCATTATGACATGAAAAGAATCGGATAGACATAGTCTCCCAAAGGTGTTTTTTCGAAAATCGACATTTTTTGATTTCATACGATCGAACCATTCGGACACTTCCCATTCTAGTAAATTTCTTCGCCAAGATAGAATATAGGTTTAACTGAGTTTTTTGTAGCCTGTAATTCGTTTTACATGATGCATGTTAGTCTGTAATTTTACCTTTGCTCTGTACAAAGTTGTGATTTTTTGAATGGACTTGATCCACTTTTTCTGAAAAATCACAAAAAGTTTTGTTATTCTGCTCAACCTGCCTATGGGCACCTTATATACCTTATATTATCCGTTTTGTGCTAGTCCGGGGAAGGGACATTTTTTGATACCAATATCTAACAAGGGAAATGTTTTCAGAGGGGCGTTGAGAATTAGCTCAAAGTTTGTACAAAGGTACTTTCGAACATGCTGAATACGATTTCAGCAATGTCTCGGTCATAACCCTAACAGGAACAAAAAAATGGGCTCTCAAAGTGTTTTCAGTACTAAATTTTGACCAAAAACGTGCATTTTTCGAGCTTTAAAACTCTTTTTTCAGGATTTTTTCAAGCGGGAAACTCTTTTTTGATCATCTCTCTATCATTTGCAATATTTTTTGTACAATTTCAAAAAAAAAATTTTTTTTTTTTTTTTTGAAAAATCGATTTTTTTTTCGAAAAATATCATCATGGGGTACCCCACACTTTAAAAGTGATTTTTTGAGAAATTTTTTTGAAAGTGCAAAAAAGTCTTTCAAACATTCAGAAATGATAGAAACATCAATTTCACAGAATTTGACAGCTTGATTTCGTCTGTGAGCCCTCAAAATTTCCAAAATCTGATAATTGCAAGAAATTTGAAAAACTGTAACTTCACAAATATTGCTCAAAATCGCACGGAATACACAGAAATATATGAAGATCATTTGGGTGATAGATTTGGTGGTGTTCCACTTAAAAAAAGAGCAGGACGGAGCAATTCCGAGAGTCGAAAGTTTTGATTTTGGGCGATAGGACAAGTCGAAAAAAACAATATTTCAAAATTTCTTCAAAATTTCAAACGCCTTCTTTTTCACTTTGAAAACATGTCAGTTTCCCAACTCGGGTCTCCGATACCTCAGCTAACATTCTGGACCTTGTAATCTCTTCTGATGATCTTCCTCTTTCTAACGTCGCCGTCGAGCCTCCACTCTGACCACTTTGCCGTCAAGTTCCACATTCTTCCTACCACTCTCACTCCTCTATCTCCATCCATATCTCGCCCTCGTTTATGGCTCAAGAAATGCAATTTGCGCTCCCTCAACTCGGATCTCGCCACCATCGACTGGGACCTCTCATTTAGTACTTTGCCTTCTCCTTCCCAAAAATTCACTAAATTCATTGATATTCTTTCCACACTTATTCGTAATCATACTCCTCTGCTTCCTCCACCCAAATCCAAACCCTTTTCTCTACCATTTCGAAAACTTAAACGGGCAAGGCACCTCTACTCCAAGCTTCTTAAGACTCCAACTACGGCTCCCAGGAAAATACTCCATGTTCGAACTCGTATCAAATCTCTCACTCGAACAATCAATAAGAAAATGGTAACTGACGAATTCCGAATCCTCTCAGCCCCACACTGTCGTGCTGCCCGCGCCCTCATCAAAAGTAGAATTAGATCTTCACCTAAAGTCCCACCTCTTTCTGCTAATGGCTTTCTTATAACCTCTGAACACGAAAAATCCACTCTTTTCACCAAAACATTCTCTTCTAATTATAATCATCTCACTTCATCCGCATCCATCACTCCCGCAATAAGTCATCAGCATCTTCCTTTTTCTGGCTCTGACCTTAAAATCTTCGATCCCTGGATAATTGAGAAGCTTCTTCGCAAACTCCCGCCTCGTTGTGGCTATTCTCCCCATTCGACCAATTACTTTATCATTAAAAAATGCGCCATCACTCTAGCATTACCTTTATCGATTATCTTCTCTGACTCACTCTCCACGTCACATGTACCCGACTCTTGGAAACACGCAGTAGTCGTTCCCATGCCAAAAAAGGGTTCTCCTTCATCGCCCGAAAACTATCGCCCCATTTCGCTTACTGACCCATTCGCTCGAATTTTCGAACGATTGGTATGTGATCGCATCAAATGGGAATTCCTCCATCAATTCAGTAGTCTTCAACATGGTTTTCTCTCCGACAGATCCTGCACCACCTCTCTAGTTCAATCCTTTTCGAATTATAAAGCTACTCTTTTGAAATACAATACACTAGACGTCGTCTTTTTCGATTTCCGCAAAGCTTTCGACCAGGTACATCATCAACTTCTCATCCAGAAACTTGCTAGCTTTGGAGTCCCTAAATCTTACGTAGCTTGGTTCTACTCGTTTCTCTCTGGTCGAACGTTCTCTGTCAAAATCTATGATTTTATTGGACCCCCTTCCTCTGTTATTCCCTCTGGTGTTCCTCAAGGATCAGTCTCCGGTCCCTTACTATCTCTCATATTCATCAATGATCTGCTCTTAGAACTTGAACAAATCCCCTCTCTTCACCTTGCCGCCTTTGCTGATGATATCAAATTGTATTCTCATGACCCAATCGCCCTTCAAACTGGTATCAACATGGTTGTAAATTGGGCTACCGCCAACCATCTCCCTCTTGCCCACTCTAAAACTGCCCTTCTTCGCCTAGGTTCCTATAATTCTTCCCATCCTCTCAATATTGCGGGTGTCACACTTACTCCCTCCTCCTCCGTCCGGGACTTGGGACTCATTACTGATTCCTCTCTCAAATTCTGCTCACATCAACAAAATCACAGCTTTAGCTCTTCTCCGTTCCAAACAACTTTTAAAGTCATTTAGATCTAAGTCACCAGAATTCTACATTTATTTATTTATTTATTTACGATTGCAAGAATCGTGGGAAAAAAAGGAAAAAAACATTAAAATACATGATAATCAGATTCCAAATGGATAAATAATGAATTCTAGTGATAGGAAATGTAAAATAATAGAATGAACTAGAACTAGAGTGAACCATCTATACATCTTTTCAAATGTTATGTTCTCCCGATTCTTGAATATTGTTCTGTAGTTTATTCCCCTCCGCCTTCTTCTCGCCTTGCTCTAAAACTAGAATCTCCCTTAAGATTTTTCTCTAAGTGTATTTTCCAGCGTTGTAATATTCAGTACAGTTCCTATTCTGATCGTCTCTCTATCCTCAATATGTTCTCCATTCGAAATCGTTGGCTAAAAGCTCAACTAATCCTTCTCTATAAATTTTTAAATGGCTCCGCCTACTTTCCTAACCTAAATGCACATGTCAAATACTCCTCCTCCCCTCGTCGCCCTATGAACTTGATTAATGTTCAGCCCTACTCCTCTGACTAGTTTTCTTCAATTGTTCCCCTGTGGAACGCCATCACTTCCCAAGTTACCCGATTTCTCCTACCTTCCGAGTTTGAATCCTTAATTTCTTCCAGTATTCCTTAATTTCTTCCAGTAATGTTTTATTACACCTGATCAATAAACAAATTAAATTAAATAATGAGCAAAACTGTTGAAGATGCAATGATGCGATGTGTGATTTCGACATACTAAATCAGATGTTGTACTCTAAAGAAAGTCCTTTAACAAAGAAGGGACTGTGAAGACGGTCGCCTGTGAGTTTCTTTTTTTCATTCTTCGCTTCGAAAAAGAAGAAGCCTTGTCACCCGACTGACGAATCGGGAAAATGTGTAAGTCTTCCCTGAAGTTCTGCGAAGAAAAGTGTCTGGTGGATGGAGTAGTGGTGGAAGCAGCTTCGTGCTTGACTCACATCCTCTCTGTCTATTTGACGGCCTCTGCGGAGAATTTTTTTACTTGTTTCAAAATGTAAGCAAACTGAAGAAAATGAAGCAAAAAAGCAGAAAAATGAGGATGGAAATGCTGAAACCTGTGAAAATGGCTCGAGGTTCCTAATTGTTAAAAGTCTGCCATTTCTTCTTGAAGATGACGCTTCACGTTACATTTAAAATACCACACAACATATTGTCCAATAAAAACTTCTTGTGAGAAGAGTTTTGAAATAATGAATTTTTTGGTATTCCTTTTTTCGTAGATTTTTTCAGATTAGAAACTGGTTATTTTTCAATTTTTTATCCTTTCTTCATAAAAAATATCTAGGAGCAATGCTTGCTCAAAACGAAAACAAAGTCATAAATTGTTACCTTTTTGTTATTGTACGTATGATATCATTCAGACTACTTTAACTGGAATCACTAAGTAATTCAAAAAAAAGTTTACGGCTGCTTCCGATTCCGAGTCAACTTGAGTTATGTGTCAAAAGTTTTTCTTCTAGAAAATTGAATGAAAAATGAACATTTCTGAAATTATTTCATAAACAAGCATAAATCACTGTCAGTACAGAATGCCGTCATTTCTAGAAACATTATTTTATACATTTTGCGAAACAAGTTCCGCCCCTTCTATAGCAGATCCTGGCTTCCATTTCATCCTTGAAGAATTAACTTGGCTTTTCGAATTTCCAATTTTCCGACAACGTCATACACAAGATCGATTTTTTAATTTGACCTGGGCTCAAAGTTCTCATTCCCACAACCTTTCAAAATATTTTCCCTTTTGTTTTCGTCCGCTTCCTAGTCCTTCTCATTTCAAAAATGATTATGGCTAAAGAATTAGAGGTGACTGGTTACTTGGAACACTGTAAACTTGCCCAAGAACTGAACGGAATTATTTGGTATCGTATTTTGCTTGCCTGGTCTTTTCTGGCATGCTTTTTTGCCACGTACGCTCAATCTTCATTCATTCTCAATAAAATCCTCCGTCTTCGTTTCCAAGGAAACATGACATTTTTGCTTTTCGCCTATTTTACAACGAGCGCATTGTTCTCATTGGTATCCACAGGAGGATTTGTAAGCTATTCCTAAAAAAAATGTGCTAATTTTTTTTTCGAATTTTTTGAAGGGGTGGCGTAACGCTGCATCACTGTTCTCCACAAACTGTGATTTGTTGATTGATCGTGAGATATTCATTTGGTACCATTTGTCTTCTCTTGTCATGATGACCATGCAAATGTTGATTCCTCTTGGGTTCTCAATTGAGCGTATTGTTGCTTTCAACAATGCTGGGCATTATGAACACCGAAGAACCAAATTGGGACCACTCATTTTTCTTTTATTGGTTAGTTGATGATGTTATATCCCGTTTAACAATGTTGTTCCGAATGATCTCTTCGAAATTTTTTTTGGAAATTTTAAAATTTTTATAAATTTCCAACCAAAAAAAAAAGCTGAAAAATTGTTTTTGAAAAAAAAGAAAACATGTTTCAAAAACGCAAAAAATTGATCATAATTTTTCTTGGGACCCAAGAAAAGAAAACGTTTCGTATCGGCGTTTTACATACTTTAGTCCAAAAACTCTAATTTCAGAAAAAAAAACCGTAAATATTTCAATCGGAAATTTCGGAGATCGCAATCCCATTCCAAACATCCCTGGCGCTTTCCTTTTTTCAGACTGTCGTCGATGGTCTGATCATTTATGGAGTGTTTCACACGGAAAAATTCACTGGCCCATTTGTTTCATTGATCTTGGTTCCATCATCTACTGCTCTCTATTTCAACATTTACTACATCGCTCTACTTCTCATTCAAATTTTCAACATGGTTATCATTATTGTTTTGATGAGACTGATGAAACAGAAGCCAAGAAAGCGAGTGCAAATTTTAGAAAGTATAAAATAAAATTTTAAAAATTGCAGCAATGTTTTATCCCTCCGATACGAGATCGAAGAATTCAAAGACGCTTCGGATTTCATTTTTCATATCAGCTCTTACCACATTTTCTTTGCTGGCTGCTATGTTTTCTTCGGACTGTTGGCTAGATATTGCGGACCATTGTTGTTTGAGAAAGTTGTTCACTACACAGCTGCTCGAGCTACTTTTTGCTCAATTCCCACCTATAACTTGATCATCGTCATTATTGGAATGGGAAAATTGAAGAAAATGGAAGAAGGGAAGAAGAAGCGCGTTCTCAAGGAGATTTCCATGAGTGCTGTTGGAAAATCGGGAATGGCCAACTATAACAAAATTTATCGTCAACTTTGGGAAGTATAAACTGTTCATAAACTTTTTTTTTAATCGGAATACAACTTTTATTTTTTGAAATACTGAATTCCCTTCCTGATTTCCCAACATCTCCCACACAATGAACATATATGCATATTGTTTTTTTTCGAACAAAACGCATCCTTTTAAATACTTTTGCTAATAAAATCTCAACTTTTGTCCTTATCAAAAAAAACTTTGAGCTTAAAAAATAGCTTTCAGCCCTATGAGTAATAAATATCAATAATCTGTAAACTGCAAAAATTTCTGGCAAACTACTATCAACATTTTATAAGCTGGCTTTTTTTTTTGGCTCTCATAGAAACCGAGATAAGCGAGCTTAAAAGTAAGACAGTAAAAACAGACAATCGTCTGGTCTTTGACATTTGTTCAAAATTATCTCGAATTCTATCGAAGATATCAAAAATCTATTTGAAAATTCTCACGTCTTTCATAGAAACCAGGATAATTGAGCTCAAAGTGCAAGCATAGTGTGTCATTCAATCAAAACATTAACAGTATTCCATTTTTTCAGTCAAAAATTATCATTTTTTATATTTGAAATTGTTTATTAATGCTCACAAAAAATTAAAATTAAAGCAAAAAAAATTAGTTTTAAAGCATAAAGTTTTGAAATGATGCGAATTTGAAAAAAAAAACAGAAAAGGATATGTGGTCAAGTCTTGTGGGAAAAAATTTAAAAAACGGTAGATAGTGAACAAATCCACGTTTGAAAGATATAATATTCTCAAATTAGAGAAATCAGAAAACAAAATATCCGAATATTAGGGAAAGGGATTGAAAAGATTCTGATCGCATTCGGAATGAAAAAAGCGGAGGTGAACAGGAAGAATACGCATACAGCAGTGATGTTGTTTGTGCATATGTCTTCTTGACTCTGAAAACGCGGCAGATATAGTAGAAAGTTTTTTTGATTCACTCATAACATCAGGGCCACTATTTACTTGAAAACAATTATTTGTAGCTAAATTCTTGGATGGTTCAAAATTTGTGACATTTTCCCACCATTATTGAATTTTTATCCTAAAACTATATATATCTAGAACTACATATTTATCCTAGAACTTTGCCGAGACTATTTCGTGGTCAATTGTTGTCATGGGTTACAAAAGGCTTTCAGCGGATTATTTGGGGCTATAGGATTTGGGGGGAGGGGCACTCAATTTTTCGAATTTTACGTGATTTTTTTTTAATTTTTGAGTGAATGTTCTACTTTTTCAAAACGTTAAGTGACTGTATCATTATTTTCAAATTTCAGAAAAAGATATATCCGTGAAAATTGTATATTCTACGTGAATTTTTTGAAATTTTCAGAGGGCTGAAAACACTTTCAAGCAATGAATTTACTTTTAGGGGTTTATTAACCGCGAATTTAGGACGCTCAGCCTGCTTTTTAATGGCTAACAAGGGAACCTTTTAAGTGAAGGTAGGAGTGAGCGGAAACCACCTACATAGGTCGAAAGAGCATAGTCGAAAACTTATCAAGCCGTTGTCAAAGTCTGCTTACGAAACCTTTGAAGTGCTGAAATTTTAGCTTCAGTACCAAAAAATCCCATTTTCAGTGTAAAATCGGCAATTTTCAAATTTTGATTTTCTCTACTCCTAGGAGGTTTTAGAATTTGAAACATATCTTATTATACTTGAAATTATGTGGAATTTCATATTTCAGACATGTTCTAAAAAAGTTTTCAATCTCGGAAAAGGAGATGGTCTTGGGCCCACCGAAAATCGGCTCTTTATGACAAGAGGGGCCCATGAGAAAAGGGGGGGGGGGAGGCATGGGAAAAGGGGGAGGGCCAAGACAGAAAGGGGGCCCATGGGTATAAATTATGCCTAAGTGAAGATTTTTCGATTTTTTCAAGTTTTGCCACTGGTTTTATGAAAATTTCGTACTTTGCGGCAGGCTTGGTCGGAAACGGAAAATCGAGTTCTCGATTTTTCCGATTTTCCGATTTTTTTCGGAAAATTTTCCGAATTTTTTTTCGGAAAATTTTTTCCGACGGAGAATTTTCCGAAAAATATTCGAAAAATTTTTTCTCGAAATAATCATGCTGCGTTCAAAGTGAAGAGGAAATCTCTACTTTGTATAGTTGAAACGGGTGCAACAGTAACCCAAGCGCGGCGAGACCCGCAATCGGTGTCGATTTACGGGGTCGATTTAAGGTGAATTTTTTTTAAATTAATTTTTTTTGAATGAAAACATACTTTAATCAGGGTTTTCATTACTTTTTCAACATTTTTTTCGGTTTATACTGTTCTTAATAGACTTCTTTTATTTTTCAGTGATTTTTTACCTTCTCTCACTGAAAACACTTGGTTTTTTCAGACTTTAGGTCATCAAAAGTTTTTCTTAAAATTGTTGGTTTTGCAGTGAGTAACTTTGTCTGAATTTAACGAAATTTTCAGACTAAACATGGGAAAATACTCAGCGGTATTGACAAATCTGGCGGATGGAAGGAAGAAGTGTAATATTTGCAACCGATTGTTACTTGTGCTTGTTCATCTATTGTTTTCCATTTCATTTTTGTGCTTTTTGTTGTTTTTGTTGTTTTTGTCAAATAAACTGGTAATTTTTGACTAATTGAAATTCGAGAAAATTCGAGAACTCGATTTTCCGGAAAAAAAAGTCGAGAAATAATTCGAGAACTCGATTTTCCGGAAAAAAAAGTCGAGAAAAAATTCGAGAACTCGATTTTCCGAAAAAAAAAGTCGAGAAAAAATTCGAGAACTCGATTTTCCGAAAAAAAAAGTCGAGAAAAAATTCGAGAACTCGATTTTCCGAAAAAAAAAGTCGAGAAAAAATTCGAGAACACGATTTTCCGAATTTGTTTTTCCGAACAAGCCTGCTTTGCGGTTTAGGTCGTTTTTTTCATGAAAAACATTGTTTTTGCTGTTGTAACTGCGTAATTTCAATATATTAAGCTAATATTTAATTAATTTAGGCTTAGAAACAAAAAAAATAAACAAAAATGTACAAAAAATGACATATACTGAAAATTTCAAAAAATGATGAAAAATGCTCAAAGCAAGAAAGTTCAGTGGAAGCAACCCCAAA